ACCACTTAACGCTGCTTGGCTGTACAACAGACCCACGGAGCCTCACTCTCACAGCCAACAGACGGCATTTCTATGGAGATACAACCACATCTCTGAGTGGATACAAAGCACACATCCATGCTGCTGCCCTACTGACTACTGAGCACGGCCACACAGGGAAAGCAAAGTCAGCCGTCTCTGAGGTGGGTGTGAAAAAACTAGCAAAAATAATGTTAGGAAAGAAAAAAAAAAAAAAACGGTAACAGTGACGGTAACAGTGCGATGACACCTAGGCGTGGTGGAGCGGTGCTTAAGGATTCTTGACATATTTGCTGCTGCTGTGACATTAGTGAGAAAGGGAGACGGCTTATGTTTGAGGACTTGATCCACTTTGGAAACACACACACGGCAGAGTTTGGGACTGCGATATAAAAGAAACGCTGACTCAGCAGGTCCCCTTTATAATTCACTGCATTCAGCTCTGATCTGGGTCTTTAAATATTCACTAATACGTGAAACGACTCCACTTCATTCAAATGTAGCTCCGCTGTATTTGGGTCATTTGCTACAGCAACTGATCCAGCTGAACACTAAAACTAGACTTGCATTAACAAACATGTATTTTTTTTACAAAATCTGAATATTAACTCAAACAGCTGCTTCTTGTTTGTGTGTCATGTGTATTCAGAGGTTATACTGGAATGCAAAAATTGTACATCTGCACAGCAAAGTGTTGAAGTGGGTCAGGGTTTACAGAGCCAATAGCCACTAGATACCAAGCTCAGTTCCAGTCCCATGTAGAGGATCAAATTTAGGACAACCATAATGGCATTAATGAATATTGACACCTTAAAACTAAATCCAATGATGATCTAAAGGCCTTGAATTTTACCGCATTTAACAAGAGATTTTTAAAATGTCTAAGTTTCTATCTTCTATTTAAATCTTCTCATATCAAGAGACAAGAGCAACACTTCCTGATGGACTAACTGAATGGCTGCTTTGTTACTGGCCTGATCATTTAAAGTATTTAGTCCCAGCAAGTCAGCTCTGAGTAACTAGTAGTCCTGTAAGCTAGTCCAGTGTTGCTCTTTAAACGTCCAGATACCCCAGTGAAGTGTTCTGAAGTTATCAAGGAGTGTTCACACAGGAAGAGACCAATGCAGATTTAGCAACCAGGAGCCGTGCAATATCAATGAAGTAAAGTGGTAGAACCAGACACTGATACATCCAACTGTCATTTAGGCCTATATTTAACCATCTTCCCTATGTTTGAAGACTTGTGATTGGCTGTATTACCATCACCAATATTTTATTAGGTAAACAAAGTGGTGTTCATTGGAAGAACAGATCAGCAAATGTCCGAAAATATCATAATCAAGTTTACCAAGTAAAAGTACTGACTTGCAGACTAAAAAAAAAAATTTGAAGTCGAACTAAATTAATTAACTGAAATTAAACCACACGACTTCATTATACTTTTTCAAGCATTCATTACAAGGTTTTAAAACATACATAAGGAAAATCATCCCTTAACCCTCCAAACTTAACATAGGTGATAACTGTTACCTGTATATTTTAGAGAAGCCAAAACAGACTGAATAGTTTTCACATGTGCATGTGTCAGAATGATTATTGTCTTTGTTCTTTGTGCCAAGAGAACAATTTTTTTTTTTTAAAAAAGAGGAAAGAACCCAGACCAGGTGAAGTGTCCGTCCACCTCTGCTGCAACTCTGGTTAGTCATTGCGCATTCTGATTCATCTCAGCTGGGGAAAAAAATTATTCAATCTAAATATACATATCCCAACTACACTCATAGCTATCAAATTCGTAAATGCAAAGAGCAGCAAATTCCCACCATATGTCCTGTCTGTGTGCTCACAATCAATAGACGAGCTATGCTGGTTTGACTCTCCTTGCACGGCGCAGGTGAAGACTTTGGGATCTTATATAAGCTGATGACAGAGAGGAAGATGTTACAGTGGAGAGAGAAAAGGGGGGAAAGGAAGGAAGGAGCGAGGGGTGTTGGGGGGTATACAAGGCCACGCAAGCGAGCCAACTGCCGGGCAGGCTGCATGCTTCTCTCAGTCACTCACACACGATCAGTAAGGAGGAAACTCATAACTGCATTCCTTCCCCCCTGATCTGAGAGGTGGCTGATACAAAGAGCAGTGTGCTGCCAGGAGAAAAGACACTCACTGCCTGGATTCTCTCCCCATTTAACAGCTTAACAGGTTGTTTTACTGACGCCCTAACACACATTAAACACAAATGGAATTTAAGTTTCAGTCAACTAGTCAAACTCGCCTTCAGTGGGACCCCTATTTTAAGCTAATATTTAAACAGGTCCTGCTGTACTAGGGACTTAACCAGTAGCTTTATAAGCAAACAGCAGGTATGCGTGTCAAACAGGTCCCGGCAGTCTGAGATGGCTTACATCAATGCTAACTATTGATGTTAAAGTGACACATACTGAAAAAGGACTATTTAAACACAATCTAGGAGAGCTTGTTCTATCAGAAACCCCCAACACTGGATTAGAAGCTGGTTGTTAAGTCTAAAAGACAACCAATAAGATTACCTCAGGTCTTTCCAACTCTTCCACGTTAAGATGCTCCTCTTCCACAGCAAGCCCCACTATTCAACACTGGTTGGGTTTTTTGGCTCCCAACAAATCAAGCTCAGTAAAATGTGGGGCTTGGCTGAATAACCAAAACTTTTCCCAGGGGTGGGAGCAGTCACAACAACAACTTAAATCTTATAACTACAACAAAGTCCCAATAAATATGAGCAGAAGACAATGGATGTGCTATGTGTCTTCAGCTATATTTATGTACAATGTTTGCACTCAAAGAGAAGAGCTCTTTTGTTTTTCACTCTCTCTGTGGCTGTTGCTCTGCATGGACAGCAAGACATTGTCTTGAGGATGGAGGATGTACCACACAGAGTTTTTTGATAAACCTTAAAAAACAAACAATGCAGTTAGAATTTTGCAGTAAGTTAGCTAGCTAACTGATAAACCGTACTATGCCTGATTTGTTTCCTAAAGGGAAAAAAAGACAGAGCACTGCTGGGTATTAAACATCTGCAACATCTGGAGGATCAGTGAAGTTGGACTTCACAATGATGTGTTACATTGCTAGCTAAACAGATAACATTAGAATAGATGTTAAAACTAGCTTTAAAAGCTAAACTAAAGACGCCTCACGCATGAACAGTGCTAACACAGCTGTAAAGACTAAGGACGACATTGGTACAGGGACGCATGTGTCCATTTGGAAATCAGGAGACCCAAAGCACGGCAGCACAGTAAAAAGACAAGAGTTTCATCCAACGTTCAGAGCCAAAAACAAGTGAATACCAGTGAAAGAGCACTGATAGTCAACGCTCTCCATATGGCCATGAATCATCCAGTCTACCTTAATCCCTTACTTGTGACAGATATCAGCTGACAGGTGACAGCATTTACATCTGTCTTTAGATGTTTTCAAAGGCTGACAACAACAGCAACATATTTAGACACGGCTCTAGAGAAATGATCGTTCCCAACGCCACCAATGCCAGGGTGGGAGGTCAACACTGACGACAGACTGTTAAATACTGGCTGAGGCCAGCAGAGATTGGGTTTAATATTAAATCAAACAGTTTGGCCCGTGTCCAGACTGATTTAGGCTCTGCTGTGGAATTCACATCCTGCTGCTCCAGTTATGTGTGTAATGAAAAGCTCTATGCTGATATCTGTGGACCGCTTTTTCTTTGTCATCTCAGGCAACCCATCTTCCTTTCTTTCTTGTCATAAAAAAAGCTAAAAGTTAAAGACCAGGAGATCTGTCACCTTGAGGCTGACTGCTTGTAGCCTAAACTAAGAGTAGGGAAAGCAAACAGTGTGAGTGAGGGGGCTCACTCACATAGCTGGGACATGTTCAAACGCAGCTATGAATGAGCTACCTGATCAAAGGCATAGCAAAGCCAGACACAGTGACTCTAAGCTAGTTAAAAGCCCTGTGGCTGTGGGTCTTTTTAAGCATCTCTGTCACTTGAAAATCCCAAAAAGTCCCAGACACCCAAAGCTGCAAAAGCCTGAGCTTAAAACCAGTTTTACAGCATACAGTAAATAAGTAAAATTTCACGCAGAGATAACAAGTGCACACCGCTACACTAACCACAGCCTACAGAGAGCTGCAGTCTGATGATACAACAGGGGAGGTCTGCACTGTACACATACACACACATCAGAGGTTTGCTTTGCATGCTGACAGCAAAAGCAGCATGACGGTCACAACAGCAGCACCACCACACTCTGCGTGACAGAGATGTGTGCAACATCAAAAGCTGCAGTTACACAGTTGTTTAAGTCTGGAAGAATCCACTTCATTTTTTCTATCATATTGAGTCCACCTTAAAAAAAAGACCCTGGTTGCGATCACGCAAGACGAAGCAGAGGAAACTGGAGGATTAGGGTGTGGGAAGTCAAGGAGAGTATGCCACGGAAAACTTCCAAATCACATCAGGCTTAGAGCAAACGTCAGAAGAGGAAGTTATTAATAACCTTTCAGAGCCAAAGATGCCAGGTTCACGTCACAAGTTTCCAGCCTGTGCACTTCTATCCTCAGTTTGGATAATTGCCTCTGCCGGGTGGGAATAAAATGGGAATTCCGAGCTGCTAGGCTATTTTCAGCACAGTGAGTGTTTTCGCGGAGGCCGTGTGGACTTGAGCTCACTCGAAGCCCCTGGTAACATTGGCTACAACCACAGCCAAATCCGTTGGTGGGATGGAGGTGGCGTTATCCAGCCAGGCAGTCAGCTAGCTGGCTAGGCTAGCTTCCAAGGCTGGCTAACTTTAACTCCCTGCTGGTATAAAAAAAAAGGGGGGGGAGGGGGGGACCGCTGACAGCGTAATTTAAGACCCTTAATTTGAAGCTCAATCTGGGTTACGATAGCGGGCTGGGTGGGGAAATAAAAAGCCGTTAACGTATGAACACAAACAGAGACACACAAGCGCCACATCATGGAAACTCACCCATTCCTGTCCTTCTCGGCGCCTCGCGATCAAATGCTGGGATTCTGTCGTCCAGCAGCCTCGCTGCTAGCTAACTACTACCCAGGTAGATGAGCACGGCCAACCGCCAAGAGTTTTCTAGTCGAGTTAATGATGAAAAAGAAGCCAGATGAGGGGTATATCCATTCGTCTTCGCTCCAGCAGCGGCAGCAGCCTCCCTGGTTGTGTCTCTCGGTAGTGCTTCTAGAGTTGAGTGCAGGAAGTTATCCAGGAGTCTCCACCTTTCTTGGACTTGCCTCCACGGCTCGCTGCTACTTCGATTGCCTGATTCTTGCTGCTACCAAAACACTACATAGCAGGAAACTTCGCGATGTTTCATTCCCGCGAGAGGAATGGTTAATGGAATGTTGACACCCCAACCACCACCTCCTCCTGTTAAACGTCCCATTCAGCAAGTACAGTAACTGCATTAGTGCGAGCCTGGCAGAGACACCACTGCAGCTCCTTCCACTCTGCTGTTGGGGCTGTCTTTATTACACACTATCAATCTTTAGGCTTTCAGGGACTTAATGGAAGATAGATAGATAGATAGATAGATAGATAGATAGATAGATAGATAGATAGATAGATAGATCATTATTTAAGAGATGAGGGGAAATGACTTAAAATAACTATAACAATAACTATAATAAGAATAACTACCCACTACTTCACATTTAGCCTTGGCTGATGTAATTGATTTAAGTTGAGGCTGCCTCAGATCATCAAGAACCACAGAAACAGGCCAGATATCAGATGTCTTGTGACATTTGGGACCACATCTAACCTACACAACATACGCTGTTATGAATGTCAGGCCCATGATTTTTGGGCCGTTTGAACGATAGCACACCTTCCAGTGCCATAACTCAGACCCAAACGCGTCTGATCTGAGTATAATTCTGGGAGACTTAGTAGATTATGTGAACAGAATGAAGTACCAAAGTGAAATATTGTGATAGTGTCTCCCTATAGTATGTGTGCATTGGTTTGCAAGGTGCCACAAAGACATGTAGCATTTCCTGTTTAATTTAGCTTAAACTCGGTGTTGACAGTATGTTAAACAACCCAGTACAGTTTTCAGCTGTCTCAATAGTGCTGGCAATAAAGGGGTGTTTTTTGTTGTTGTTGTTTTTTAAATAAAGATGACTGCACAATGCACAAATTTAATTGCACTCATCTCTGATACCATACACAAGAGAAAGTGTTTGACAGAAATTAAGAATAGTAATAATATTCACAGAGTCACGGTCTCTGACACTCTTCGAGGACTCAAGCTGTAACAGAATAAAAGACCTCAATCACTCACTCTGCTGTGGCTCATCGTCAATATTGTGTCAGATGCTTTAACTAGGGCAACGAAACCACAAAGTCAACTTCACAAGCAGCAGCTGGAGACCACTTTCAACCAGTCTTGCATACATTTGCTGGTGATCAGCATCTTTTAGTAATGCAGATTCCTGACACTGCCTGTACCGGGTATTCTCCTTTTCAGCTCCAAACCTCTTCCCTCTTCAGAAAAGATCATCTCCCTCACTAACAGTATGTAAGTCCCAAAATTTTCAGGTTCTGACAGTGTCATTTTTCCCCGATAGGTCTCTTTTATTACTTTATTTCAACAGGTTGTATCTTTTCTTGTTATATTATTTTTTTATTCTCTAATTATCTGCTCTGTTTAGCACTGTTTGCTGGTAGATTTACTTGTAGTGTAGCACTTTGGTTAATGTCTGTTGTATTTAAATTTGCTGTGACTTGTCACAATGTAACAGCACTGTTGTTAGAGGGCAGGTCAAACAAACAGACTGCCACTGTAATGTATAAAGAGCAAAAAGCTAGCACAGGAAGTAAGTAATGAGGGCAGCAATTAACACCAGCAATTAAAGACATATGCAAAGCCGTAATGTAATGTAAGCACTGGGATAAAATGGAAAAATTAGAATGACATTAAAAACAGTATAATATACTGTGTGTATGTGTGAACACTACTTCACAAGACTGTTAAATGAAAAAACAGGTTATTATATTTACTATACTTGTAGGTAATATATTCTAAACAGTTTAATTCAGTTTTATTTATATAACTGCCTCAGGATGCTTTATATGGTAAGGTAAAAGACCCTACAATAATACAGAGAAAAATACTGAACAGTCAGAACAAAAAGGATAACTTCTTACATTTGCTTAAATTTCCTTACATAAATGTAAGGTTTAGACTGTCTGTTAAATCAGATAGTCCAAGATAAAAGTTATTTTACAACAAATACAGTGAAAATTATTTGTATAGCAGTTATACCTAACCACATGAATACAGGAACCGATTGTGGGGACTGTTGTGGATAATGCTGAATGTTTGTCTAGGTAATGTGTCAACAGATTTACTGTCCTGTGGGCTTAACACCTGCAGGAGCATTGCAGGGGTTATGTGCATTGGGTGTCGAGCAGCAGTCAGGTAGATGAAAGATGGATGGATGATGGATTGACAAATGGATGAATGGATGATGGATAGATGACAGATGGATGGAAAGAAGAATGATTGATAGATGAATGGATGATAGATGGTGTTGTGTAATGAAGTCTGAGACATAGGTCAGTATGAGCATCTGTGGTGGTCTGTGGGTCAGAGTGAAACTCAGAGTTGTTATTTTAGTAACCAGCACTAACCAGCTTGTATTTGCTGAAACCTGGACATAACTGCTCCACACCTACTACAGTTGGGAAGGACTATTTACTTCCTTCCACTATTTCAACACATTGTTTCTTTACACATGCACGACAACGACTCATCAGTGCTTCTGACGTTGATCCCATGTGTTGCAGGAGTTTTGTAAATATCACGGTTTGGCATTTGAGGATGCAATGTGAAAGATTCACACCACAACCCAAACAATGCAGTGAAGGAAATGAAGGAAACATTCTTGGCACAAAGTATCAGTGCGGAATCATTTTACCTTCAGTATGTGCGGGAAGGACAGGAATGTTTACCGCAGGGACTGGGAAATGGGAAACACTTTAGTTTCATACCTGCAGTTTCTGATCATATGATTTTGTTTTTACCTTTCTTTTTTAAACTCTGAAGACAAAACTGTTTGCCCTACTCTGCAGTCATTGCCTTTGCCATTCTGAGCCGAGCTGTTGCTCCGCAGCTGTGGCTGCACTGGGACAGTGGCTTTTGCGGCTTACTGTGATCCCAGAGAATGAACCGTTAGGAGAGGAAGTATTTGAGGGTAAATTCATCCTGACTGGAGCCATTTAAGCAAAATGTCAACAAGTTTTCAAAAGGCAGCACAAAACACAAATGCTATGCAAATGTGTCTGACCACAGAAGCACAACACACACAGCATATCTCACTGTTGGCTGCAGTTGAATGGGATTATGAGAGCCACAGCCGTCCTCTTTTGTGATCACTGATGTAAATAATTTATCATTTTGGTTTTATTTTCCACATTAATGGAAAACACTTTTATCAAGCTTAAGATATAAATGTATGCATGCTTTCCAACACATTTTAACGAGTACTTACTCACTGTGATTTTTACTTTCTACAATAACACAATAAAAGCACACTTTTCAGTTTTTCTGTGCAACTTGAGACTGTTGTTTTTTGCAGAGCTGGAATGGAAATGTGCCTCTCTTTAAAGCACTTTGGATCCTCCTCTGTTTTTTAAATGGACTGTAGGAAAATATAGACATAACAGTCCACACACTAAGCTTCAGACACTCCTCATAGTGCATATTTGAAGGTATATTTTTCCATTTCCAAAACAACTAATTAACACAAATCATTGGGCTAAATACTGCACTTGGAAAAACAAACAGTAACAATGTATCTAGCATCTAGTATTACTCTGAACTACTTATACTAGTGCTGGTATTGACACTTTAAAGATGGAGGGCAGAAATGTCAGGTGGCCTCCACCTGTAAAACCATTTCTTTTTTGGGGGTTGTCTCATTGTTGCCCCTCTACTGCACCTGTTCAGTTCAGTTTATTTGAAGTGAGGTTATTAATACAAAAACACAAAAGCGTAAACTACTGCTCCAGGAAGAAAGGGAGTCCAAACATCCAGTTATTCACAACTAACACTCTCTTTCCAGCAACACACCAGGGAAGGGAATCCAGGAATCTGAACAGAAGAAGCACATGGTGAGTATCCAGGGAGCACAGAAACAGTGTGGCTACATAGCAACAATGCAACCAGGGTTTCACTGACAGTAGCTCAACCTTCTAGAAAAGACTGGCTGCCAGCCATTGCCTGAAGAAGTGGCCTTGATGAGATCATCGGAGACAGGTGTGTGATTACTGCAGGTCTATCGGGCCAGAGGTGGGAATCCAGGATGAATCTCGCCCACAAGCACAGACAATAACAACTGACATAGGAGAGAGAAAGAAAACCAAAGCAGAGAGACGGATGGAGGCGAAAACTGTTATTCATGTCAGTAACACTAAAGCAGTAGAAACTGACTAACAACGCCCTCTGATACTTAACTGACCACATCAATATACTTTTCACGTTTGAACAACATAAAATCACGTTATTACAATATACATAATTATCACATTCGTACAATATAATATTTAATATTTATTTACTTACTATGTAAGAACGTGAAAGGTTTTTTGTTATAACGTGGTAATTATGTATATTGTAACGTGATTTTATGTTGTTCCAATGTGAAAAGTATATTGTACCAACATGATTGTATATTGTTCAAACATAAAAGTATATTGTTAGAACAATAAACTTTTCGTGTTATAACATAATATATCTCTATTTTTCTTTTGCCTGGATGGCAGCTCTACGCTGCTGTAGTTTCTCCTGTAACAATGAGGTTAAAAACCTGTTGCATGACATAGTTTGGCTACACTACTGGGAGATCAGAGCCACCGTGTGGTTAGAATGTATAATTCCACTATTCTTAGACCATAATGCTTTCCGTAGGGGGGATGCCTCTGTACACCACTGCAGCACATTTGAAATCAGCCTACCAAGCTGAGACTGAAGTGCAGACTTACAATTTTAAGAAAAGTACCACATTAACTATTCAGGAATTACAGACACATTTATACATATATATTTATCTCTGAGTGGCTGAACAGTTAATGCAGTACTTTTCTGTGGTAAAAAAAATGAACAGCTTGGTGGCTCACAGTTTGTGTTCAGGAGACAGACACCCTCTCTACTTTCAAGATTAGAGTTCAACTTTCCCTTTTGATAAAGCATATAGTTAGGGCTGGATCAGGTGACCCTGAACCAAGACCCATTGAATGGAAGAGTTGCGTCATTTCTAGCCGCCTTTTAAGTTTGGCGTTAG